CTTGCCAAGAGACAAACTTTTCAATGGTCCAAAATGAAGCGGATTTAAGCTATAGGTCATTGTACAGCTTTCAAACCCATACTGCAAAGTCAGCTGTAGAAGGCCCTGAGATGACAAAACGTGAAGCAATTCAAACAACAACAAAAAAACCAATAGCCTGGGGTTAAACATGTCTGTGAGCGCTTAGTTTTTACATACTATATGGGATACAAACGAAAGGAGATCTGAGCTCTTTTCAAGGTGAGTTCAACTCTGATTTCAATTTTCTTTGATTGGCAAGTTTTTTGTCAAAGTTAGATAGTTTTCTCTGGCTACTCCAGCTTCCTCCAACAATGAAAACTGAGCGCTATGATATAGTTAAGCGTGCTGAAAGCGGTGTCAAACACCAACAATCAATCAATCAGTCTTACCTAAAACGGTTACATTAAACTGCAGTAGAAGCTACATTGACCTTTTTGTAGAAATCAGTTATTGGAATTGTCAGCTCAATCCAAACATAGATCATTATGGATAAGATGTTATACATCATTTACTTTAAAAGTTATGTCTATGGTTTTAAAGGTTTTTTAAAAAGCAAATTCGGGGACAAACTAGAAAACTAGTCCTTCTGTACAGTGTTAAAAATGAATACCAACTTGCTTATTGTTGCAGACTGTATGATCTCTTTGGGTGCCTTTGTCTTTAATGTCTTTGAATTGGTTTCTCAAAAATGTATACACTGCATCTGCTTGAATTTATATTGTCAGGCAAATTAACGAAAGACAGAACAATTTTTACCAAATATTGTATTGTTGAACAACGTCAGAGTATTACTCTGATAAACAAAGTGGATATATCTACATGGTTCATAAATAGAGTTATAATACATATATATATATAACAATTGAATAATGAGGATTTTTACAAGACGATTTAAGTTAATATGTACATATGACTGTCACTACTATAAGAATAAAAAGTAGTAGATTCAAGGCCAAAGTTTACTTCTCTTAGGAACTTAAGAACACGGAATTTTGTTGAAAAGTGTTATTTTGTATTATATCTTATGTTTGATATTTTTGTTCATTTAATATTATAAATGTAATGTATACAGCATAATCTTTGCATGCTCAGATTTAAAAAAAATATATATTGTTAGTCGGCTCCACAATTCGATTTTTTCTCTTTGTCTTGTCAAAGAAGTGAAGAGCAGTTTTTTTCTGCTCTTTGGTCGGGTTGTTGTCTCTTTGACACAATCCCCTTTTCTATTCTCTTTGGTATTGTCTTTTGGATATGCACTGTTCCTATGCATTGGTTTCACGGGAAATTAATAACGAAGTGTCCATTGTCAAGTTAAACTTTAAGTTTAACTGTTTAAAACTAGTAAACACTTTTTGAATGAATTGCTTGCATGATACTTTATGCTTTAGGAATTTTGAGACTGGGAATTTTCGTATTGTGTATATTGTGTCTTTTCGAACACAGAAATCCTACTTAATATCCAGCATTACAGGCTGCACATGGATTTAACAAGTGTGCACACGCTGAAATGTCTCGCCTGCTTTACTTATGATTAAGTTTATGTTGAAAGTCTGTAATATGAAGGTTTTACTACAAGTATCACATACATTTAACAATATTCATGTTCTGTGAAAATGAGGGCATGGTGAGACTATGTCAGACATACATGTACACCTTGCCATCATTCCATACACCAAATATAGTGGTCCTATCGCGTATAGTACATGAGAAACAGATCAAACCACAAAAACTTATCATTGACCAATGAACCATGAAAATGAGTTCAAGGTCATATGAACCCTGCCAGACAGACATGAACACCTTACAATCATCCCCTACACTAAAAATGACCTTATGCTTATAGTATCTGAGAAAAATACCAAATTATCCAATGAACCATAAAAATGAGGTCAGGTCAGATGAAACCTGCCAGTCGGACATGAACACCTTACAATCATTCCATACACCAAATATAGTTATCCTATTACTGATAATAAGTTAGTGACAAATAAGGTATCTGCATAGAAGGTATGAAGCATCCATGTCCTCTACCTTCTGAAATATAAGGCTTTATACACATAGTTTACACCGTTGCCGTCGCCGCCGCCGCCGCCGTCGCCGGATTGTAATACATATTGTAATACATATGTGTCGCATTCTGCGACTGTCGTCGCAGGCGAGATAAAAATTGACGCGTAATTTATCTGATTGGTTGAGTTTTCGTTTTGACTTGACCTGCTGTAAAAAAATAAATTACATTAACAATAGTCTTATTTAGTATTCTCAATATTTGTTATGGACATAGACTCGGAAAACCTTTGTTGACGAATTTATGTTGCTCTCTGATTATTGTTTTCCTGTCTCATTGACAGATACGCCAGACTTCTTTTCATTCCTAGATTTAAACATATAAAATGACATCAAATACTTGCATACGTGTAAATAGCAAGAGTAAAAGAAAATATAGGACATAGTGGTTTAGTTAATGACACAAAAAAACATAAACGGAAAAAATTTTGAACAGCCATTTTATTCACAGTTTGGTTTTTTTAATCATGTTGTGAAAAAATAAAAAAAAGAACTCATCAAAGATACCAGGATTGCAATTTTGTACGCCAGACGAGCATTTCGTCTACAAAGGTCTCATCAGTGACGCTCGAATAAAAAAAAAAAAAAAAATGCCAAATAAAATACGAAGTTGAAGAGAATTGAGGACCCAAAATTCCTAAAAGTTTTGTCAAATACAGCTAAAGTAATCTATTTCTGGGAAAGAAAATCCTTAGTGTTTCGAAAAATTCAAAGTTTTGTAAACAATTGATTTATAATTATGACCATATATATGTCACTTTTATTTTTGATTGATTGATTGTTGGTTGCTGGACTTCCAGTGACAAATATTTCATGCATGTTCAGAACGAGAGCAAATTAACAATAAATACAATAGTTAGGTCCTGTAAAATAGGTTGTTCTTGATGAAGGTCGGAAATTTAGACCCAAGCACTATAAATTAAACTTTCAGGATTAATGAACGAAATTACATTCTAATAAACTAATAACACAGTTATAGAGACAAAAGAGAGGCAAAGGATACCAAAGAGGCATCCAATAAGTATTTACAATAAAACAATGATAGGTCAATGTTCAGTCCCTTTGGTAACACTCGAAGACAATTTCTGGTAATCTCTGTAGACGTTTAGTATTTGGTTTTAGTTTTTTGGGCAATGACCCTTTGATCGACATATATTGAACTTTGCAATGACAGAAGTAGGATTGATATCATAAAATATAGTATGTGCCAAAACAAAAAAGATTTGTGAGTGTAAGCTATAAACACTCTCTTTGAATTTTCCTTGAAGTTCGGTATTTTTGTTATTTTACTTTTTTCGAAATTTTCCAAAATACTTTTCGAAATCTGAATGCACGCATACATCGTTTGAATTTGTGTGTCGTTTGGTCGCTCTCTAGTAAGCGAATGTATGAAATGTTTGTTCATTTATCCATCAAATTAGTGGCTTTGTTTAAATATAAACATAAGAAGATGTGGTATGTTTGCCAATGAGACAACTCTCCACCAGATACCAAATGACATAGAAGTTAACAACTATAGGTCACGGTACGGCCTTCAACAATGAGCCAAACCCATACCGCATAGTCAGCTATAAACACACCAAAATGACAAATGTAAATCAATCCAAACGAGAAAACTTACGACCTGATTCATGTACAAAACAATGAACGAAAAACAACTATGATATATACAGCAACAAGCGACAACCACTGAAATACAGTCTCCTTTTTTGGTAAAGGCACATATAGCATGTGCCGGGGTTAAACTAGTTTGCTGGCGCAACCCCCCTCCTCCTAACCTGGGACAGTGATATTACAATATAACATAAGATCACACTATAAAAAATCAGTTGAGGCTGACCTCATCAGATCGACACAAAGCAGAAAAGCAATTAACATAAACGCTGACCGAACGTGGCTGGGAATTTATACAACCCCACAACAAAAAAGACACTAAGGACAGATCTGAGAGTACTTGCAGTTACTGACAACAGTTCAAAGCCAATAACAACTAATAAAAACAATATGTGTATCTAGTCTCACTATTTTTAATATATACCACCTTTGATAAGTGTTTAGTATGACGATAAATTTTCACTTTTGTTCTCGTACTAGGAACAACAAAATTATTCTTTTTTTTTAAATATTTCCGTACTCCATGTATACCTTACAACAAAATTATTTTTATCTACCTGTGTACGTTATTTTATTTGGCGGCATTTTGTCCAAGGTTATGGTTGTCTTTTGATATTGTTTTACATCTAACCCCCTTGTTTAAATTATTTTGTATTTACATTGTGTCATTGATCAAATTTATTCGTTCAGTGTATGTTCACTTGTTTTTGTTAATATGTCTTAGTGTGTCTTTCTATGTTGTGATGTTACACTATTGTTTCAGGTAGGGTGAAGGCTGGCGCCTATTAAAACGTTTAAACCCGCTGCATTTGTTTGCACCTTTCCTAAGTCAGGAACCTGATGTTCAGTGGTTGTCGTTTGTTGATGTGGTTTATAAGTGTTTCTCGTTTCACGTTTTTTACATAAATTAGACCGTTGGTTTTCCTGTTTGAATGGTTTTACACTAGTCATTTTTGGGGCCCTTTATAGCTTGCTGTTCGGTGTGAGCCAAGGCTCCGTGTTGAAGGCCGTACTTTGACCTATAATGGTTTACTTTTACAAATTGTGACTTGGATGGAGAGTTGTCTCATTGGCTCTCATAACACATCTTCTTATATCTACTTAGACTAAAAAACCAATCAGTACATTTCCATCATCTAATGTATTTAGTGTAAAGACGTCATTAACAGTCAGAGAAAAAAACGTTTAAAGTATTTCAAACCCTCATTTCTTAGAACAAAATCAATTTTTTATTTGTTAATATTAGCATATAAGTAATACTATATATTACACTGTTAGTGTAACCACATTAGAAGAAAATGTAAGATAATTTTTTTTTCTCGAGCAATCCATGAAAAATTGTGAGTTTTGCCATTAAAATATGAGCTATCGGAAAATTGTAAACACGTTGTAGTCCATCAAGCATTGCAAACATTCACTGGATTGGTCAATGACCCAGGCAAAACAAATTGAGTATGAAGTAAGCATATTATATTACCGGGAACATTTGTATTTTGCATATCCATATAAGGTAGTGTTTCTGACCTGTTTAATTCTTACAGATTTCATAGCATTAAATATATTTCCTCAGTTGTGATACTTAAAACATCATATAAATCAATAACAATTCACAAACTTGCTAAACTAAAAGGTTAACAATGGAAAATCTGATAACAAGTTGTATGGAAGAATTAAAGATTGAATCAGAATACTTATTTTAGCTAAATATTTTGTCATCAAGGTTTGAACATTTGATACAAAGATATTATGCTCTATTCTAGACTGACAAGCTTATGTTTTAAGCTAGACAGTTTAAAAGGTAGATTTCTCCTGCAAGAAATAAACCTTACTTGTACTAATTAATTTGATCACAAACAGACAAATTTAGTCTTTACTTTTTTTCTTTTGATACAATTGCACGCAGAAAATTCTAATTTTCAAATTCTTTAAAATAACCCCTCCCGGGACTCAAATGCACAATAAAAAAAATGGTAGGCAAGCACACTACCAATAAAAAGTAGGAGTAAATCAAGCATTTTATAGTTTTTCTTGTACAAGGTACATAGCTTATCTTTTCTTCATTTTTGTGATTATAACGCATTGGTTTTAGTTTAGTCCAATTGACCTTCTTTAACCTGATTATGGTCTTTTATTAGTATGAAAATAACAATGTTCTCTAACTATGATAAGCTACACATTAATTGCAAATTTGTTCTTGTTGACAAATTATTAACTTCATTACAACTATTTGAGATTGAAAAATTCGAAAGAGCTACTCTAAACTTTAAAAAAGATACTTTTCTTCTCACTTTTCGACTCCATCACAATTAATGTAATTCATATGCTACCTGTCATTTATTTCATAGAATTTACTTTTGAAAATGTTTTACATGTGGTTTTTCGTAAAACAATGCCTGTTTTGAATTAATGAAGAGTTACAAATGCATCTCTACACAAAAAAATTACAATGAAATTATATAGGTCACTTTGGAATCAGGACTTGTCTGATTTTTCTGCCTAGAATCCAGAGAATATCACATGACTGAGTATCCGTTTGTTTAGTTCTTTGCTTTCTATCCATAAAGTTCCTCTGACATCAATTGTCATAACCCCTGGCTTTTCTAATCCCATTAATGTTATATCTATTATTGTCACTAATTCCCCCCTTGCGGTGACAATATGGAGAGCATGTTGTTTTTTATCAGAAATTATCAAATTCTTGGATTTGGTACTTAACACTTCCACAGGAGTAAAGAAATGTTCATTTGAATTGATAAAGGAATTTCCTATGTATTTCCATTGAATAATTCCATCTTTCCTGATAAGCACTACATCTCCTTTAAGGCCCCCTTTGAAAATACTATCAATGTAGCAGATATCATCATCATTGATTGTCGTACAGCATCGTACAACATCTCTTGTAAGCAGTTGTCTCCCATGATTTTTGTAGATCTGTATGATTTCCCCATCAAATCCTAATCGCATGATGATGGGTGTTTCTACTTTGTCGTTTACCGAGGTACAATCCATTCCCACAATAATTTCATTGTCTGAAATATGAAGAGTGTATGGTGAATTAGGAGAAAGATCTTTGAAAACTTTTGATTCATCATTAGCAGCTAATTGGCAGATTTGTTGAAAAGATGTTAAGAGAATGTTTTTATTTAAACATCTAATTTCAGGATAACCACGGACATTTTTAATTGATTTTAAGGTTTTAATTCCCTCTTTCACCTGCAGTTGATGTATTTCTTTGCATCCATCTGCGATCCAAATGTTGCCTTCCTTGTCACTTGTGATACTGTTTATGCTTGACATGTTGATATCATATTTTGATTTGATTTCAAATTGAATTTCCATTTCAACCATTTTAGAATTAGTTTGGATTTTATAATGAGGAACATACTGTTGTGTTTTTATATTAAATGATTTTGAACTTGCTGTCTGCTCAATTGATTCCAATTTTGTCTGCAGACCTTTTACAGCCCCAAAAAACAACTCTGCGCTTTTTGATTTTTGAATATTTTCTACATCCTGCATGACTTTTTCAATATCTATATCTTTTTCTAACAATTCCGATTCTTTCTTTGACATCAGTTCAGCATGTCTTTTGGTCTCTTCTTTATGTTCTTTAAGTAGCCTCAAACATTGTGACTGAACTTCTCTTGCTTGTTTTTCCTCTTCCAATATCTTTTGTTCTATCTCATTTGACTTTGATCTTTCAATTTCTGCCATTAAATTTAATTTTCCTATGAACTTTTCAATCTTAGTGTGAACTTGATCTTGCAGTTTTTTCATTTCTTCAACTTTTTGTTGACAAACTGTTTGTATTTCTTCCATTAGATGGCTACGATGAGTTGTTGCTATGCATTTGGGACAAACTAATAGATCACATGTAATGCAATACATGCAGCACAGTTGTTTTCTATGGTCTTTACATTTGACAGGTTTGAATTCAGACTTTGCATCAGTCTCATCAAGATGGGAATGAATATCCTTCAAAGCTACAATATCATGGAGATCAGCATTCTTAAACTTGGCATGTACTTTATCTGTACATTTCTGGCACATATAGAGATCACAGTCCATACATTTCACTTTTATTTTTGTATCTGTTTCACATAATCCACAAGCTAGAATATCTTGGGACCTTTTGACTGACCCAGAATGAGCCATGTTTTTCACTGATATATTCCTGTTTTCATGCTTAATAATTCTTGAATATCTACGCCTCTCTTTTAAAAAGTTTCGAACAGGTAATTCCCATACACTGTTCAAATAATCATTGTGCTCAAACATGTGATATAAATCATATCTTATGTTACCTTGAACTCATTCATAAAGAAAAATTGTGCAGTTTTGTTATACATTTAAACTTGATAATACTTGAAAATGTTTGATTGTTAATGATTACATTTAACAAAATATAGGTAAAATAAACCCTACAAACAGACCTGAATTTCTAAGGATCACCTTCAAACTAACTTTTATATTAAGTTAGTTCTCGCAACTGTATGCCAAAAATTTTCAAGCATGGAGGATGACTAAGAAAATTATTATATTTTAAATAAAATTTGTTTTCCAATTATTCCTAAATGTTCAAGGCAGGAAGGGTAGGGTGACTAAGAAATTGATGTTATATTACTTAAGGCAAACTTTCAGTGTGTCCCAAATTTGTCAAGGCAGGGAAGGTTACTTAGAAACTTAATATTTTATTTTGCATTCACCTTGTCCATCCATTTGTCTCTATTTCCATAACTTTTTTCACAGGATTTCCAAAGGAAAAATCGATTATTAGTCCCCTACCGTCGAAGTCGAAGGGGACTTTAGGTTTGCACTCTGTCTGTCTGTCTGTCTGTCTATCCGTCAGTCCGGCAAATCAGTTTTCCACACTTTTTTTCTTCGTGCTTGAAGATATTGATTTGATTTTTGGTATATTGTTTTACCATGACATGTTACAGATCAAGTTGGAATTTTGTTTCGGTCTGATGATTTTGTCCAGAGTTATGGTCCATGGACTTAGTAAATTCACTCAAATATTCAGTTTTCCACACTTTTTGTAGTCATGCTTGAAGATATTGATTTGATAATTGGTATATAGTGTTATCATGACAAGTTATAGATCAAGTTCGAATTTTGTTCCGGTTTAAGGATTTTGTGCAGAGTTATGGTCCTTGGACTTGGAAAATTCACTCAAATAATCAGTTTTCCACACTATTTTTTTATAATTCTTGAAGATATTGATTTGATATTTGTTATATAGTTTACACCATGAAAATTTATAGATCAAGTTAGCATTTTGTTCCAGAACAATGACATTTTAACCGGTAGGGGACTATGTATTGCCATGCAATACTCTCAGAATACTTGTTGATTTGGGGATGTACGGCGGGCGGGCAGGCAGCTGCCAAACAGTGTCTGTTCATTAACTTGAAAACGCTTTGATGAAATCTTTTCAAATTTAGATATGTTGTTTCCTGTGACTAAATGAAGGTCAAGTTCAATTTTCAGGATCTTTTTTTACGATTTTAGCTTTTATCGTTGTTGAGTTGTTGACCTTTACGTCCGTACGTCCCAAAGTTGGTTTCCATTCTCTAACTTTAGTTTACCTCAACCATATGTTACGAAACTTATACACAATGCTTATTACCACAAAACACAGATCAAGTTTGAATTTTGGTAGTGTCACTTTTACTGTTTTAGAGTTGTGCCCCTTTACAAATGGAAAAATTGCTGAATTTTTCGTTTCCCTTCTCTAACTTTAGTTTGCCTCAACCAAATGTTACACAATGCTTATTACCACAAAATACAGACCAAGTTTGAATTTTGGTGGTGTCACTTTTACTGTTCTAGAGTTATGCCCCTTTATAAATGGAAAAATTGCTGAATTTTTCGTTTCCGTTCTCTAACTTAAGTTTACCTCAACCAACTTCTACACAATACTTATTACCACACAACTCATATCAAGTACAAGTTTGGGTAGCGTCACTTTTACGGTTTTTCAGTTATGTCCCTTTATAACTATTTGTTACGCAAGCGGGAGCATCATTTGTGTCCCATGGACACATTCCCCATTTATTTTACTTGATCCTGTTTTGGGGTCCAGATTTGCAAATAACATTTTCATGCAGGAAAATCCGGTTTGCTGTCACTCTGACAACCTCTTGTTTCTCAGTTACTACAGATCAGAATAACTAAATTTTTTGTCAGCAGCTTGACAGTGATTTATTGTAACATTTTACTATGGTGTTACTGATGACACCTTTAGGAGTTATGGTCTTTGATAGATTGGAAAATGGCACTTTATACACAGAATGTGTCAAGTCAAACAAGCCTAAAAGCACCATATATACATTAGAATTTATAAATTCATTTGAACTAGCTGCCGTCTTTAAGTTTAAAAATGGTTACCTTCAAAATATAGAAAAACCCTTTTGCTGTCAATTTGACATATCATTTCTTGTTATTTGTTATAAAAAATAACTGAAAGACATCCAGAGGGCATTATACAGTCTTCAACATTAGTCAGGTGTCTATACAATATGTCAAGCTGTAAATTTTCCCAAGTCTATAAATGTTGTAAATTAATTAACCAATCAAAATCATCCATTTACACCTAATTCTCCGAATAAAAAAAAACATTATGATATAGATTAAACATATTTGATTGTCCAAAATATTACGAAATGACATTTAATTAGTACTGACAAGGTTCCTGACCTTGGAAAGGTTCCTGAAAATGACAGGGTTAAACTAGTTCTTATCTTGTCTTGACAAAGTTGAAAAAGTGAGACTTAGACTTGTGTGTTGTTTCCGGCATCCGCAGCAATGACTTTGAAACCTTTGCTTAGTTTACATGTTATAGTTTGATTAGGCCATTGTAAGTGGAACCACTTTTGGAAGGTCAATGATATTTGGTATATAGTTATATATTTGCATTGGCACATCTCATTTCATGAAGATTGTTTAGCCCTGACCCCTCAGTCATGGTGTATTGACTGAAACTTTTGCAAAGTTTACATGCCAAAACTTATGTTTAGGTCAGTTTAAAATGAACCACTAATGGTAAGTCAGAGATATTTGGTATGCAGCTGTATTTGCATTTGCCTGTCTTATTTCCATGGTGATTGAATGTTTGCACAGTTTATATGTTAAATTATTGCCAGTTTCATTTCAAAATTTGCATTATACTACAAAATTACATAATGGCCAGACATATTTCAGTATCAACAGTTTATTTTTAGATCAACCTTCTACCTTTAAAATTTTGATGAAAAGAATAACAAAATATACCCCAGTACATAAAAGATCAATGGTGTCCATCATCATTGTCTGCTGTGTTAATAATATACATGATATATTAATTTTTATGGCCCTTCAACAAAGTTATCGGTGCCATATAGTTTTACCCTTATCCGTCATTCCGCAACAAACAGTTAAACAGACTTTTTTTCTACACACCTTCACATATTAAGCTAACTTTTAGTATGCAAGTCTACTAAGATGAGTTACAGATCAAGTTTACGTTTTGTTCCGCTCCACTAATTTTTGCCGAAATTACGGGCTTTGGACTTTGAAAAAAGCAGTTATACAGACTTTTTTCTAAATGCCTTCACATATTGAGCTGTAATTTTGTATGTGAGTCTACTATAATAAGTTAGAGATTGAGTTTAAGTTTGGTTTTCCTCCGCTGATTTTTGCTGAAACAAGGGGCTTTGGACTTTGAAAATAGCAGTCATACAGACTTTTTTTCAAAATGCCTTCATATATTGAGCTGATTTTTAGTATGTGATTCAAATATGATGAGTTACGGATTGATTTTATGTTTGATTCCACTCTACTGCTTTTTGCAGAAACAACAGGCTTTGAACTTTGAACATTTTTTGAAAATAACAGTTATACAGACTTTTTTTTTTCTTCTAAACACCTTCACATATTGAGTTGATTTTTAGTATATGAGTCTACTATGATGAGTTACAGATTGAATTTACGTCTGGCTCCACTCCACTGATTTGTGCCGAAAAACCAGCATTGGACTTTAAAAATATCGTGAAAATAACAGTTATACCGACTTTCTTTCTCAAATTTCCACTCCTAAAAATGGCTTCAAGCTTTTATTGCGAGCAGGGTCATTTGTGTCGTTCCCACATCTAGTTTTTAAATCTTTTAGTCTGAAATACTTATCTGAATGATTCATAGGGTCAGGGATTCCTGAAGACAATATAATATCCCATGCCAATTGTTACTACCGGTATTGTATATCATGTATTTAAAGTGTTTTGTGAAATGCTGAAAATCAACTTGTTTTCTTTATCATTAGAGGTAAATTGAATCAAATATTGGGGTAAAATGGTCCTTTAATGAATGCTTTTTGCAATTTTGAACCATTCCAATCACCACAATTTTGAAAAATGGAGTTATAATTATAAAAAAAAATTTCTAATAATTTATTGATATGACAATTTGTACTAGTTTCACTAGGAACAATATGAAATGGATTTTGGCTGTCTTTATACTTTGGTTTATTTGGTATCTAAATAATGAAGTGTTGATATTAAAACTACATAAAAAAAAATCGCCAATAACTTTTAAGAACTGTCTTAAATTTCAGTGTAATCATGCATAAATATGTTAAAATATTTCAATTGAATTTAAAAAAAAAGAAACTACATTTATATCAACAATTGTAAGGTATATAATATCAATACTTGGTTACAAGATCAATAGATTATTGTCACAACATTTCTATTAAAAATTATTGTACTATATACATGTTCTTCAATTATCATGTAAAATCAATTAAATGAATGTTGTCCGACTGTTTACAATCTTTAACAGTTAGGAACATGGATTTAGGTATAATCTTATGGTCCAATCTTTTTTTTTATATAATAACTTAGTAAATCCCTCTTTGCTGTATATAGAAATTTAATGCTTATTATGCACATATTGTCTAATGGAAACATTCCTCTTTTTTTCTGTTTAATGTATAGAAACATTGACATATACTCAAGCTCTTGTACAATCATTTGTTTTAGACGAAATTTATATCATAACATACAATTTGATTGCTAAAAAGAGTTAGATGGATGCAGAGAAATTTGTGACTAACTTTAACTTCAAGATGTCCTCAACTAACTTCGCTGCATTAAATACCCATTGGTGGCCTTCGGCTGTTGTCTGCTCTTTGGTCGGGTTGTTGTCTCTTTAACATATTCCCCATTTCCGTTCTCAATTTTATTCTTTTCCACTTTTGAATAGCTTATAACTTTAATATCTGGATAGAATGTCTAAATATGATTCTAACTTCTCATATTAAGGCTATGTCTAGTGTTTGAGATATTATCTTATTTTTAGTATGTGCTGAAACTAAAGATATGAATTGGAATCATATATGTTGTTGTCTTTATCACCTCTGTTTTGATATACTTTGAAATTGCATATTAAACTTCTTTTTTTTAGACTGGAGATATGATTTGGACATACACCCAAGCAGCTGGTATCATCACCACTGTTTGTGTGTATGAAGATCTCTTATTCTCTGTATCATTTAACAAATTTTTCAGATGTTACACTAGACAGGTAATAAAATTAGACATTCAAATGTTTGTTTAGGAATCCATGCTAAAACGGTTAGGTAAGTTATAATTCAGTAATTATCTTAATTCTTTATTTGAAATAAAAAGGGCAAAAGATCTGAGAACAAACTTTCTATCATATCAAAAATAACAAAATATATGTTGATAACAATAAGCTTATGAATATTTGATGTGGACCAGGAGTTACCCTCCTTGTATACTGTATGGACTAATTCTCCCCTTTTATTATTGAACAATTATTGTTTGTTATGTGTATTAATAATCATAATTAAATTGTATTGTCTGTATCTGTAATTTGATTTATATGCTTGTAATAATCCCTATAATTAGGAAAATAAAATAATAACTTATTAAAAATGGTCACCACATCTTTAAAAAGGCTGTATTGGATCAAATCAGTTATCAGTTTACAAGACTTGTTTTGGCTGGAAGTTCCCTGTTTAAACAATGTATATACACAAATTCATAAGCAATAACAAGTTTGGTAAAATTCTTTTCCAATGGAAAATAATGGTTATTTGAATATGTTAGTTTTTGATTTAAAACAGGGTTGTTAAGGAAATGATGATACAATTTAGGACAAGGGATAAATACAACTTTGTTAATGGGACATAAAAACTCACAGAATTTAGAAAAAAGGCAGCCTTTTTCAACATTACCAATTCTAGGTGTAAGAAAACAATCTAAATTAATTAAACTCTATTTATCTAGTCTCTGTTAGTGGTAGCCCTCTCGCCAATGGTTTGATTTCTGGTCAGACTTGAAAATTGATATTGCTGCTTCTGTGCAAAGACTGAGCCATTTAAGGAATAAAGCAAAAGCTGGTCATTTTAGAATCAGAATCATGGGACCCGGTGAGGTGACATCTTTCAAGGGACTGTTACCTTTTCAATTAGCGCTTTAAAAATTCTGCTTAACATGTCAGTCTAGAACAAAGCAGGGTTTATATTCAAATCACACTACCATGTTCTCATTTTGATTTGTATTTAATATTTGCCACTAGATATGAAACAGCTACTAATCATCATCATCTAGTCTCTGTTATAGGTACATTTATTGCATATTTTAAGGTTGTTCTTGTCGTTTAACACACCGAGGGATGTAATAGGATTAATCAAATGAAAGACCTGCCGTAGGGAGGTCTTTCTTTGGGCAATCCTGACACTGTAGAGTGTGTAATACAAGAAGAAAAACCTTAAAATATTTCTTCAATAATGGAGAATCAGGATAAAATTTATAATATCCCCCCTCCCCACCAAATAACAATGCTTTCTGGTATTTCAGTCTAATAAACAGAGAAAAGGATTGTTTCTGCTTAAAACATATTAAAGATGGAAAATTAAAAGAAAACCCAAATTGGCAACAACACACCATAACTATTAAATGAATTAAATGATTTAGTACACGATTATTTGCGTTTTAATCAGGGAAAATAATGACCTTACACAGGTCATTATTTTATGCCCTGAAGCAAATTTCATCGAAACTTGGCATCATCCGGGTTGTTTATTCAAAAGAATGACCTGTTTTTCTGAAAGAAAATAACTCCATATAGGTATATAATGCACAATTATCGATAAAGCAAAGTTAAAATGGATCTGTTTGCAGATTTAGTGAGGTTGCTTTTGAATTATCTATACTGTTTTAATATTGACTGAGTAATAAAGGTATTTGTTGGATAAGTGCCAACAAGACAGCAATTTAAAAACACAATAAAAGCAAAGCAGAAATTCAGTTAAGTCTATATAATATGAATCGTTCAACAAAATCAGATGTCAATATTTTCATTGTTTAATATCTGTATTTTCTTTATACTGTTTCCAGGACCACAAATTGAAAGCTTTGTATTATGGAGCAGACAGAGGACTGGTTACACAGATGACAGTTATTGATGATAAGGTACCAGTGCATTTTACTCTGTTAGATATAGATTTTTTAAAGGATGTTCGCTACTCTTGTTTTTGAATTTTTGTCAGATATTCATAATCCTCTATTAATATAGGGTCAATAAAAATTTTGCCCGCTAACCCCTCCTTTTATTTTCATAATTTTATTACATATAGTTTAAAAAGCCATTTTTGAAATCCTATAATTTCCTGGTTATTTGATCACAGTTTTTTTAAAGAAAAAAGGTGCCAATGTTGAATGCATGAAAAATCTAGTGATAATCATTTGCCCCCAAATTTTCAATTGATTATATCTCAAAAACAAGGACACAGACCTTTGATTTTTTCTGCTTTTTAGGTTCTATTATTTATATACAGTCAATTTATAACAATCTTTTAAAAAGCTTGTTATTTTGAAAGAGAGGAGCGAACAGCCTGAAGTCATAAAATAATATAAATGTTAATGTTTATTTACTTTTACACACAAGACTAACTAGTACAAGATACATTAATGAAGACAAATAACTATATGTAGCACATATGATTAATACAATTTTGAAAGAAAAAAAATCATTGATGTAAAATGTTACAACCTTACAAAAAGATTTGTTGCATAGTATATTTTTTCTAAACGTTTGGAGGTGACAACCTAGTTGGATACATTCATTGTATAACATAATTTATTGTCTCGCCTTGACGGAGTCAAAAAGCAAGACATATGTATGCTGTTGACGGCGACAACGGCGGCGGCGGCAACAACAATGTATTAGTTTGTGATTAGGTCTAGTTCATGGTGAACCACTAGTGGTAGGTCAATGATATTTGGTATGCAGTTGTATTAGCATTGGCACATCTCATTACAATGGAGATAATTTGGCCCCACCCCCTCAGTCAAGGTCTATTGACTTTGAAACTTTGCTTAGTGTACATGTATTAGTTTGTGATTAGGTCAGTTTATGGGGAACCACTAGTGGTAGGTCAAGTATATTTGGTATGCAGTTGTATAAGCATTGGCATATCTCATTTCCATGGAGATTATTTGGCCCCGCCCCCTCAGTCAAGGTCTATCGACTTTAAAACTTTGCTTAGTTTACATGTATTAGTTTGTGATTAGGTCAGTTTATGGGGGACCACTAGTGGTAGGTCAATGATATTTGGTATGCAGTTGTATAAACATTGGCATATCTTATTTCCATGGAGATTATTTGGCCCCGCCCCCTCAGTCAAGGTCCATCGACTTTAAAACTTTTGCTTAGTTTACATGTATTAGTTTGTGATTAGGTCAGTTTAAGGGGAACCGTTAGTGGTAGGTCAATGATATTTGGTATGCAGTTGTATTAGCGTTGGCACATCTCATTACAATGGAGATAATTTGGCCCCACCCCCTCAGTCAAGGTCTATTGACTTTGAAACTTTGCTTAGTTTACATGTATTAGTTTGTGATTAGGTCAGTTTATGGGGAACCACTAGTGGTAGGTCAAGTATATTTGGTATGCAGTTGTATTAGCATTGGCACATCTCATTACCATGGAGATTATTTGGCACCACCCCCTCAGTCAAGGTCTATTGACTTTGAAACTTTGCTTAGTTTACATGTATTAGTTTGTGATTAGGTCAGTTTATGGGGAACCACTAGTGGTAGGTCAATGATATTTGGTATGCAGTTGTATAAGCATTGGCATATCTCATTTCCATGGAGATTATTTGGCTCCGCCCCCTCAGTCAAGGTCTATCGACTTTAAAACTTTTGCTTAGTTTACATGTATTAGTTTGTGATTAGGTCAGTTTAAGGGGAACCGTTAGTGGTAGGTCAATGATAATTTGTATGCAGTTGTAGAAGCATTAGCACATCTTATTTCCATGGAGAATATTTGGTCCTTACTTCTCAGTCATGGTCTATTGACTTTGAAACTTTTGCTTAGTTTACATGTATTAGTTTGTGATTAGGTCAGTTTAAGATGAACCACTAATGTTAAGTCAATGATATTCGGTATGCAAATGTATTGGCATTTGCAAGTTTCATTTCCATGGAGATTATATAACCCCACCCCTTAATTATGGTTCATTGACTTTGAAACTTATACATAGTTTACAAGTTAATGTTTGTGTTTAGGTTTGTTTAAAGGGAACGACTTATGAAAAGTCAATGGTATTTGGTTTGCAGTTGTATTAGCATTGGCACATCTCATTTCCATGGAGACTGTTTAGCCCTGTACATTCAGTCATGGTTCATTGACTTTGAATATTTGCATAACTTACATGTTAAAGTATTGTAATTTTAATTTCAACATTTGCATTATCAAAATAACAAATAGGCGAGACATATCTCTGTGTAAACAGTTTATGTTGATCATTAATCATTTCTTTTAGATAATTACTGGTAACAGAAATGGAATTGTAGAAGTAATTCCTATCAACAGAGATAAAGAAACAATGTGCCAGGTAATAAAGTAAATTCATGGGGTTGAAATGTATTAATGAAATCCTTGTAAAGTTTGGATCGAGTCTTTTTTTGTTGATGAGTAGTAATGGTTTGATATATAAGCTATATAGTCCATGACTGCAATTGAGGAGGAATATGGTTTGCTAAGATTGTATATGTCCCTTGTATGGGGATATACAATATAAATTGAAGTTAAAATAATCAAACAAGGGCATGTGTTAAAAACACTAACAGCCAATAGGCAATTTTACCATGTTTAGCTTTGAAACTGTACTGGAACAATACAAGAACAACCACAGAAACTAAATTCTTCTGGATTCTGTTGCCACCGTTACCTTAACAGTTATGTTATTACCCATGCTAATGTCTCAATGATATGGTAGTTTGAATACAAATATACAAAACTATTATATTCTGGATTGTGATTGAAGCAAATTAAAATAACACTTTATATAAATTTAAGGCATCAAAGGCACTTATCTGGTTTTACCTGAAATTATGATAACATGCAATTTAGTATCCTTGAAATTTTTCTCAAACTACTAAATTCGAAACTTATGAACATTAATGAACCCAGTCCCACAAGCATTTCAATTGACTTCCATAGATAAATTTTCGTATGATTCGTATTATTATTCCAACAATTTTGATGAATAAACACTAACTTTCTTTCTACATTAAACTTATAAGCACTATTAGTGATTTGAGATAACATGTAATGATTTTTCATTCACAGTTTGAAGGCTGTTGCCATGTTTTTGGAATCAAACCTCATTTATTATCTCATGTGATGTCTGATCATGTGACACCTGACACAAAAATGTTTCGTTGTCTATGGAGAGGATGTAAGGATTGGTTATCAACAAAAGAAGGTCATCAGGTAGGATAAAAAAACTTAAATTATTTTTCGAATGACTTATTTCTTGACATAAGCATATATAAATTAAATGTCAGTGAGATCATATCTATTCATGTATGTAAAACGTGGAGATGTTGTAATGATAAAAATGCAACCTCTATTTACTGAAGACTGAAGAACCAGAAAGCATCTACAGTTCACCATAAGACCTTCTACAATGAGCAACCACACACATCTCGGAGCAAGTTATAAAAGGGTCTCTAAAAATAAAAATGTGAAAATAAAATTTTTTAAAATCGTCCGTCGTCGTTAGCTTTTACAAAAATCTTCTCCTCTGAAACCACTGGGCCAAATTTAACCAAACTTGGCCACAATCATCATTAGGATATCTAGTTTAAAACATGTGTCCGATGACCCTGCCAACCAACCAAGATGGCCGCCATGGCTAAAAATAGAACATAGGGGTAAAATGTAGATTTTGGCTTATATCTCTGAAACCAAAGCATTTAGAGTAAATTTGACAGGGTAAAACTGATTATCAGATCAAGATCTATCTGCCCTGAAATTTTCAGACAAATCTGACAACCCGTTGTTGGGTTGCTGCCCATGAATTGGTAATTTTAAGGAAATTTTGCAGTTTTTGGTTATTATCTTGAATATTATTATAGATAGAGATAAACTGTAAACAGCAATAATGTTCAGCAAAGTCAGATCTACAAATAAGTTGCATGACCAAAATTGTCAGTCGACCACTTTAGGAGTTATTGCCCTTTATAGTCAATTTTTAAAAATTTTTCGTAAATTTTTGTAATCTTTTACAAAAATCTTCTTCTCCGAAATTACTGAGACAAATTAAACCATACCGGGCAATAATAATTATTAGGGTATCTAGTTTAAAAAATTTGTCCGATGACCCCGCCTTCCAACCATCATGGCCGACATGGTTAAAAATAGAACATGGGGGTAAAATGCAGTTTTTGGTTTATATCTCTGAAACTTAAGCATTTAGAGCAAATCTGTTCATCAGATTTAGATTTATCTGCCCTGAAATTTTCAGACGAATCCAACAACCCGTTATTGGGTTGCTGCCCTTGAGTTAGTAATTTTACAGAAATTTTGCAGTTTTTTGTTATTATCTTAGATATCATTATAATATCTAATATCTAATACTATTAATTATGATTTTAACCTTATGTTACATGATTTCCAAAGCATCAGTAAATACAGGTGAGCGACACAGGCTCTTGAGAGCCTCTAGTTGGTTTAATCAACCGTGTTTACAAATCAACAACCTCTTCACAAAATGTGAGTTAATCCTATAGAAAAGTAATTTGAAACTGTTTTTTTTTTCAGGAAGCAGAGGAGCACATGAAACTTCACATATTTACCTGATTGACATCTAAATTTTTCAAAGAAACAACATTGAAAAAGATGTGTAATGGTGCTCATAGAATCACATCAATTCACCTGGTGCTGATAGAAAGACATGTAGAGACACATATATGATTTATAGAGAATATTCCTGAAAGGGAAAACAGTATTCACTCACTAGTCTTTGTGTTTTGCTATTCTTCATTATGTATAGTAAATACAACTGCCAATACATCATATAGGTAGATAAGTTCAGCACAAGTTTGTTTTTAGATATCACTCATACAAATCTTGTACAATGTTTAAAGTGGGTTAAATAAATAATTGACATGGGATTTACTGAAAAAAACACCCAATAAATTAAATAAAGTGTTAAACAGAAAAGAATACAGACAGAGCAAAGCAGATCTAAGATATTGACCTTTCTACTGATTTAAAGTATCCTGAAAATGCATGAAACACTTGCCACTGGACATTGAACAAGCAAGCAAGCAACAAACAATAAACCTTTTCACCTGCGAAGCTTAGGTCTTTTAGATTGATCCTATACTCTGAACAATTTATTATGTAGATATATCAAAGAAGTCTAAGGTTATATATATATATATATAGCAACAGAGGTAGAGAGAGGAAGCGCTGTGTTTTAAATACAGGCTGTTGAATTTGTTATATATACCAATTGGAGATAGAAAACAGTTTGTTTATTAGTGATTTTAATGAATAAAGAAAGGCATTAGTTTATAAATTGTATTATGACTGAGCAATATAGAAAGATATGTTATCAGTGTGGTGTTTTATCACAGTAGAGCAAAATAATAAATAGAAAAACATATATAAAATGATGAAATTACACACTGATATAAGTATATATTGAGAAAATAGAGGAAATGCTAGGAATTATGTATTTGATTTTTCTGTGCGTGCCATAGTGTAAAAATATCACTTTTGTTTGTGTATGTAGGCACACTGTATATTTTGTTTATGACTTTATTTCACTTGTTTTACACACACACACAATATATATATGTACAGTAGGCATCACTGTGATATGTACAAATAAATATAGTAACAACTTTTGTTTCTTATTTATGTCATTCTATAACCAGGCACTATATGAATCTGATGGAAAAACGAGTGCTGTTAAAAGTGTTGATTTTCTGAATTAGTGTATACTTTTATTCATGATTTGGGTGTTATGTCATTAAAATAGCAACTCATAAAACACAAGTTAACAAAAGATGGAAATTTTAGGAAGTGTGATACATTTTCCTTAAAATACTTTGATATGCACTGTCGAAATATGATAAGAAAAACATACCTGCAAGATTTAATTTTAACTTTGGCATGTTTGAAGTAAAAACTAAAAATTGCATACTTAGATATATTTTATGCCCCCGCCGTAGCGGAGGGGGTATTAAGTTTTACCCTTGTCCGTCCATCTGTACGTACGTACGTCCCAAAATTGGTTTCCGTTCTCTAACTTTAGTTTGCCTCAACCAAATTTTATGAAACTTAAACAAAATGCTTATTAAAACAAAACACATATCAAGTTAGAAATTTAGTGGTGTCATTTTTACCGTTCTAGAGTTATGCCCCTTTACAAATGGAAAAATTGCTAAATTTTTCATTTCCGTTCTCTAACTTTAGTTTTCCTCAACCAAATGTTATAAAACTTATACACAATGCTTATTAAAACAAAACTCAGATCAAGTACAAATTTGGGTCGCTTTTATCGTTCTTGAGTTATGCCCCTTTATAATGTTTTATGCAAGCGAGGGTATCATCTGTGTCCCATGGACACATTCCCCATTTATTTTTGAATAGCATAATTTTCGCCCTGTTTTCTGCAAAGTGTTCTTAGTTTCCATGCATTTGAAGTTAGTTACCAAAATGAAGTTTACTTACATGCGAAAAACACTATATGAACAGAAAGTATTTTTTGTGAAATCAAGCTTCAGATTTTATTCTTGCAAGTAAAAATGCATCTAGGAATCTACTGTTGATTTTTTGTTTTGAAATTTTGGTGTATTCTTTAAGCAATATTCAACCAATCCCAAAAGAAAAGATGGGACCCATGTATTGCTTATTAGCTAAAAGCAGAAAAAAAACAGATATTTTAAATTCCTTTTTTGGGGCTTGCTTACATTACAGTGGATTTTAATTCAACATCATTGTTTAGCTATTCTACTTTAAATAAATCAAAATGATATAAGAATCACGGTCATAGATTGAAACTTGTAAAAGAAAGAAAAGTATCAAGTCTGTTATTTGCCCCGAACTATTTTCCCTTGTAATAGATTCAATCTAATTATATAAATATCGTTGATATTCTGCTTTACCACTGATTTCAATTTCATGCAACCGATTTGATTAGGCTAGTAAATTTTCTACAAATTGCAGATACCTTTCATTAGCAATATTTCAAAGACAACACTTCAATTTAGATGTGTTATTTTCTGCAGCTGCTACAATTTCTTTTGCCGTTAAAGGTCACATAAGTTTTTTCAATGGCAGAATACTACCTATTTAAAATAAGATCAAGTCCTAAATGTCCATGAATCTAATTCCTGTGTTTCATTTTTAAGATGTAAGCAACCAACATTCAATCAATCTTTTTAAAGACTGCAATTCTTTCTTTGAGTTGAAAAGACTAAAACGAGTGAATATTTTCAACCTGAAACTAGAAGTTCAATTGCATTTACAGAATTGAATAATCATATTGTGATCACTTTATACATTTTCCTCCCCCTGACACAAGCCATTATTTATGGCTCACAGTTTTCACCATGATTAGGTCACCTAACCCTATTTGCCAGGTGATCTATTGCCATCACTTAACTCCTGTTGTTGTTGTCATAAAACTTTTTCAAAAATCTTCTCTTCATCCTCAAGTTTGAGTTTTTTGTTCCTGTTAAATCAACCAGCATGGGCGTCATGGCTAGAAATAAAACACGAGTTTAAAATGCATTGTCTAATTTCTTGAAAATCATAATATGTTTTGTATGTTAACTAGAAAACTATTATATAGGCTGAAATTATGAAGGACAAACAGATTAGCAACACAAGATATACAAACTTGACCACGAAAAGCTGTATATCTGAAATTAAGAAATTCGTTTCTCATAAACATTTTTGTTACGAAAAAGGTGAGCGATTTAGGCTTAGAAGCCGCTCTCTTGGTTTTTGTTTCCCGCATTTCCATTTATCTTAAACAGAACAGAATTGAAATAAAATGGCATCTTTTATTTGTTCAATCAAAATTTCTGGATTAGCATGTTGGATATGATTAAAGCAACAACAAATAAGACAACAAGATGATGATGAATACCAGTATATATGGGGATAGGTGCCAGTTAGATGTCACTACATAAGGCTTAAAAACTCATCAAGGATATCAGGCCTATAATTTTGTACGCCAGACACGCGTTTTGTCTACAAAAGACTCACCAGTGACACCCTTATTAAAGCAGTTGACCAAAAAAGGGGAGGAGCAAAAATTCCGAAAAGTTTGGCAAAATACAGCTAAGGTAATCTATTCCTGTAGGAATTCATCGTGGTCAAACTGCAATTTATTTATTTTTTTAATACAATTATTTGTATTTATAACGATTTTTAATTGTGAATGCGTTTTCTGCCCATATTGAGTTTAT